TTAACCACCTGTGTTCTTTTCTGTAACTTTCTTGCCTGGACAATAAAAAAAGAGAAAACCTGATTTGGGCTTATTCCTAGGGATCCTTCTCTCTTGAAGGAATTCCTCCTGGGATTTACCCCTTCAGGCCTCTCATTGCTCCGGAGAAATAGGCTTCGAGAAATCCTTTGCATCTCTGTCACCCTGGGAGAGGTGACAAAGAGACAATGGAGCCATGCCTTTAAAATTATAAGGGAAATTTACATCTAACATATCAAGCATGAAAATTAATTTAAAATATTTTTAGACAAAAAATTCTCAACAATTTACTTCCTATGTACTATTTCTTAAGAAACTATGAGAGAATTTGTTCCAAAAAGTTAAGGGAGTAAGATGGTATAGGAAGGGGAAGTCTAGGCAGAGCCCAGTGGACTCCCTAAAATTATGGAGACAGAACTGAGAATCCAGGGAGACTAACTTGGCTAGAGTTCACAGGACAGAGTACCAGAGAATAAAAAGCTACAGAGAGAAAATTCTGGAGACCTTCAGAGGTTTTCCCTCTAGTATTCAACAGAATACTGATCAACAGATGCAGGTGAGGAAACTATCCAATGCTGGGGAAAGAGCACCCGAATAGATTATAGGGAAATACCAACCCCTGGTGGTCACATAGGTCAAGTAATAGTGTCTGTTCCTACTAGCTAAACTGGAAAATTTCATAATTCATGAAACACTGGGTAGAGTACTTAGAAAGGTTTTACCTCAATAGCGGGAAAAACTTATCTCTAGACTAAACACTGCTCTCATCACACCTATCAAATCTTAAAAGCAAGACTTGAAAGGATCAAGCTATTTTCAAGCAACTTAACTGTGTCCTAGAACAAAGCTTAAGAATATTTATAGGAATGCAAAAATATGCAGCACCCACCAAGAAAAAATTCACAAAGTCTGGCATCCAATCAGAAATTACCAGACATGCAAAGAGTCGGGAAAATACAAGCCATAATGAGGAGAAAAAGCAACCAAGTGAAACTGACCTAGATCTGGCACAGATGTTAGAATTAGCAGGCAAGGACATTAAAACAGTTATTATAACTGTATTCCATATGTTCAAAAAGCTAAAGGGAAGGCTGAATATCTGAAGTACAGATATGGAAGACAGAAAAAAGACCCAAGTCAAACTTCTAGAGATTAAAAACTACAATATTTGAGATAAAAAATATGCTGGGGGGTGGTTAACAGCAGATTGGGCATTATAGAAGAAAAGGTTAGAGAACTTGAAGAAATATCAATAGAACCTATCCAAAATAAAACACACAGAGAAAAAAAGACTCCAAAAGAAAAAAATAACAGAGCATCAGTGAGCTATAGCACAACTTCAAGCAGCCTAATATACATGAAAATGAAATTGGAGTCTCGAAGGGTGGGAAGAGGTGACATAAAAAATAAATTGAAGATTCAGAAGAAGAGAACAGAACTAATTGTGGTTACTAAAGGTGGAAAAAGGGGAGGGGAGAGAGGTTAGGGAGAAACTGGTTAATGAACACAGGTAATGATTATGTTTTGTAATGATGAACATGCTAATTATTCTGATTTGATCATCACACATTGTATGCAGGTATCGCTATTCACCTCTACCCAACAAATATGTATAATCAATTATTTTTTAATTAAAAAAAAACAATGAGGAAGATCTTTATTAAGTGATATGGATTAATTTCCAGGACATACTTTTGAGGGAAAAAATCCAAATGCAAAAAAAGTATCATAGTACATGTAATATAGTCTAAGAAAATATGCATGTATCTTCTCACTTGTGCAAACAGAAACACAGGAAGGACAAACCAGGACTAATGATACTGGTTACCTAAACGAGATGGATAGAGATGGATGGAAAGAATGGGAGAACGGGAACAAGGGAGGAGGGTTAAGGAGAGAGTGACACTTCTTTGAGTATACCTTTTTTGAAAATATGTTCTGACATTTGGAATCATGATAATGTTAGTCATACTTGTTAAATAGTTAAAATGAGTCAGGAAGTGGAGGAAATTCAAAATGCTATGTACATAGTAACAAATTTGAAAAATAGTGTTTTAACTATATGTTGTAAGGCTACAGACAAAAAAACCTGCATACAAATAAATAGTTCCTAAAATTTGTTTTTCATTGGGGTATGAGCTAGCAATTTAATAACTACTCTATGTGTATTCTAGCATTGCTCAAATAAATAAATATATTTTGTAAAACAAGAAAAAAATATTTGAATAAATAACAGCTAAAAACATTTCCAAACTTGTGGAAGTCAATTGATTGTCAAAAATTGAAAAATAGGGCCGGCCCGGTGGCGCACTGGATAGTGCGCCGCTTGGGAAGCGCGGCAGCGCTCCCGCCCGAGGGTTCGGATCACACGCACCCAAAAAAAGCTAGTAGGGAAACTTGCCAGAATTTGAACCCAGATCTGCCAAAACTCCAAAGTCAGACCATAATTGTGTCTCCCAGTGTGTAAATATCTATCAAATACTTTGTGCACATGTGTGAACATGCCAAACTTTGAATGATTTAAGTATAACCTGTATTTTAATACTTAGGACAGCATCATAAAATTAATTTCTAAATGAATATTGAAATTTATCCAGTTTCTATGTTTAGCAATTGGTGTTAATTTACCTCTCATAAGTGCTAGAAAGGTTCTACAATACCTCCTCCAGCCCTTTTATACTATTCAGACACTGAGGGTTGCCATCCGTTGCCGGACACGGAAAAAAAGACAAAAAGACAAAAAAAAAAAAAAAAAATTGAAAAATAAATAAATAAAAATGGCAAAGTAAGGATGTTATTTAGAAATGTAAAGGTCATACCAGTATAAACACCTAAGAGTTGAAATTGCTTACCTTTGTTGTAAAAGTGTAGACTATGGTTCTGGACTTCCTAGACTTGAATCCTGCCTCTGCCCCTTACTAGCTGGGTGATCTTAGGCAAGTCACTAAATCTCTCTGAGCTTCATTCTCTCATTTTTAAAATGGGGATAATGGTAGTGTTACCTCATAAGGCTTTTGTGAGGATTAAATGAGTTGATACTTATAAAGGCTTGGAATAATGTCCAGGATAATCTAAGGGCTCAATGTTGTTATTAGAGAGTGGGAATTGGGGATGAGGAGATTGCTATATTTTGTGATATGACTTGTAGTAATATTTTAATTTCTATACATGTATAATGTACATAGATAGAAATATATGTACTTCAATTTATATGAATTTTAAATATTTAAGAAGAGTAAATTAGGGGTGAGGAAATGAAAAGTCTTTCTAGAAGTTTTCTATGAAGGGAAGGGTAGGGATAGGGTGATAGCTAGATAGGGTGATAGATGAGGCAGAGGAAAGTTGTGCACTTTTTTGAAGGTAGGAGAAACATGAGTGGGTTTAAAAGGAGATGTAAAGTCAACTATAGAGGATGAGAAATTGAAGCTATGGAAAAAAGAGGGCATGTGGCCAAAGCACAAATGAAGGGACATCTCTTCCATTATAATCAGAAGGAAGACAGAAGTAATGGATATCGGACATAGGTATGTCTAGCAGTTTGGTATGAGAAGTTGAGTAATTTATCATTTCATACCGACTGTTCTCTGTAAAATAAGAGGGCATTTGCTGAGCATGAGCAGGAAAGTGGCAGGGTTGGAATTTTGAGGTGAGTACGAAAGATTTGAAATAGACATTGTGGAGACAAGTTAAAAAGAAAGCTGGCCAAAGCAACACAGAAAGATTTCAGGTCAGTACTAAGGGCCCAGGTGAGATTAGAAGCCATAAATTTGTGGTGCATTAGTCCCAACCTCTTTGATTATGTGATCTTCTCCAGCAGGGCTCTGCAACTCAAATACAGACCTGGAAAAGGTGGGACTAGCTGGACTGAATCAGGGTTGAGATTTTATTAGGTTGGTGTGATAAAAGAACAATGGGATAAGGGAATGGGGGATATTGAAAGGAGAGCAGCTGAAGTGAGACATCACAGACCTTAAATGGGCTAAAGAAAAAAAGTGCAGACAGAAGGTAGCTGGTAGGTAGGAAAAAAGTATAGAAGTCAGGAATTAGAGGTCCCAGTGAAGATGAAGAATAGATGTATTTGAAGAAAAAAAGAGAGTTGTAAGTATAGAGGTTGTAGTTAGAAAGCAGGATGTTTTAATTTATAATTTCAGTGGGTAAATGAAGTGGAGCAGAAGGTGACAGTCACTGGAGGAGGGGATGTCAAGGAGGCTAGATGGCTAGAGCATTAGATGGGTCAACCATGTGGTGCTGCTGAAGTCCCTAGAATGATGGCAGAGGCAATAGGAGGAAGACTGTAAGCCTGAAGCCAGTCTTCAATAAATGAGAGGAAAACATAAAGAGGTCAAAACTGGCCTAATGAGCCGCTGTAGCCTCTTGAAGCCTTAGTGACTATACTGAACAATGTTTCACTTTAGACTATGGATTCTTTGCCAATGTCTACAGACAAGTTTCTAATGATCCATGAATCCTCTGAAATTGTATACAAAGCTCTCTGTGTATATACCTAAAGTGTATTTTTTTTTTAATTCTGGGAGAAGTTTCATGACTTATCAAATTTTAAAACTGGTGAGTGATTAAATAATAAACTGCTCAAAAGGATTTATGTGAGGACGGACTAAATGAAAATAATATAAACTGCATGTAGACTTAGGAAAGGCACACACCTATCAACATTGCCAAAAGTTCCTCTGCCCCTATGGTAATACCATCATAGAAAGCTGAAGCCCTGAGTGAGCAGCAGAGAGCTATGGCAGTAGCCAGGGCTCCTGCTTGGCTGTGCATTAAAAGAACTGGTAGGTAGCAGAGACGGAGAGAAGGGTTCAGAAATCCACAGGACAATTTAACAGTGAGGCTCAATAACTACCTAACTCATAAAATCATCAGGTGGCAGCTGCTACATACGTGCCTTCACAGAATGAAGTGATTTTGAGCTGGCTCCTTTTCCCAAGAGCAGGCATTTCAAAAAAATATAAGAAACTTACCTCTCAGCAATATTTTTTGCAGACTGTAGAAACCGTGCCTGGTCATTTTCTTTAAGAATATGCTCAGCTTGGTTGATGAGGACTGTTGACCGTTCAAGACACTGGCGGCAATTAGCAACCTGCTGTGCCAACTTTCTCAGTTTCATAACCTTAAAGAAATTAGTAAAAGAAAAAATAAGATAAAACATACAGTGCTTAATTAAAAACAATAAAACAACATGAAGATCCGCTGCAGTGCTTCTAAAAATAAGGCTTATTAATATTCTATGGTCCTTGTACTAACTATTCACCTTCTCGCCTTACCCGCTAAGCCTCTCTGCCAATCCCTCCTTCTCCTGTCTACAGCTTGCTCACTTACATTGCAACACACTCAGTCATATGCTCTCAGTTATCTACCTCCTCTTTGTATTAATAACATTAGTTTTTCTGATTGTAAAAGCAATGCACGCTCATTATAGAAAATTTAGAAAATATAAAGTATAAAAAGAAACCCTACCATCCAGAGATCACCATTGTTTACATTTTATTGTCAATATATGGTAGCATATGTTTAATAAAAAGTACTGCATTTTTCTTTACGAGTATCTACATTTCTATGTATATATTTCTCTAAATATCTTTATGCATACCTGTGTGTTCACAAATCTGTGTTCTTGGAAACTTCAGTTCCTGTGTTAGCTGAAATCACCCAGCGTAGCACAAAGTATTGGTCTTCACTTCAGGCTCTTATAACTTCTCACAGTATATACAACAGCATGAGCTTATAATCACTAACACTGACCAGCAGGCCAACAAGCCTAAAACCATATGGAGACTCAAAGCTGACTCTCTTGACCATGATTCTTTAGTTCCCAGGCAAGAACTGAAGTCTCCACTGACTATTCTCTCTCTCCTTAAGATTAAGGAAAGAAAATATACATACCTAATAAGTCGATGATTCCTATCATTTCCTTTCTAGCAATACCTGTTATGCCCTTCCCTTCCATTTGTGTTGCCACTACTCTGGTTTAGGTCTTCATCAACTCATACCAAGACTCATTCCATAAACCTCATAAGTTGCACACATTTACCATATCAATAAGTCTTCTCCCTCCATAAGAAACTAGAATGGCTTCCCAACACCGTTCAGATTAAACTCAGACTCTTTATATTGGCATTCATGGTCCTTCCATAACCCTAGCCCACATTTCCACAATTATTTTTTCTTTATCATTTTTTATACTGACTTACAACATACAACAGTAAAGCACCCAAATCCCAAGTGAACAACTCAAGTGATTTTTGTACATACATACACCCATGTAACCATCAACCACGTCAAAACATAGAACAATTCCAACACACCCAAGAACTGCCATGATTTTTATTCGATTTAAAGTACTAGGCCAAACATTGCTTCTTCTTTGCCTCTCTCCCTAAAACCTCATTTCTTCTTGCTTTCGTGATCCAAGTTCAGACTGGAACCATCGGGATCGAACTTCAACATCTGTAAAGTCAACTCTTCCCTGGCCTTTACCTTTGTTTCTTTGATTTTGACAGCAATCATTTGCTTCCTCTGCTGGATGATCTCTACCAACTCGTCACATTCTTCCATAAGCTTTGCCTCATGCATAGCAGTATTCACCTGCCAAGAAAGTCCAGAGTATTACACAGTGATTGTTGCCTTTCTCCCCTGCTGGCTCTAAAAGGTTCGGACTGACAGCTAAGCATGCACAACTTCTTCCATACCTCCCTCATAAGATCCACTCCTAGAAGAAGGGTAGAGATGATGATATTAATGATGCAAGGGCATTGAAGCACCACAGATAGGAAGCTCTCCAGGCCTCTGGTAGATCATGATGGTTAATGGAAGGCTGGGCAGAAGGACAGATGAGATGGGGGCATGTTATTCCCACTGTGCAATTCCCTTTACTCCAGCACCCTGTCCTCCTGCTGTTCTTTTGGAAAGAGGGTAAGAAGATTTATGTATTTCAAGAAAAGAGGATCCCCCTCCACAGGCACAATAATATTTAGATAACATTACGACAACATATTTCTGCTGTGCTAGCAAAAAATGTTTTTGGTTTTCCTTGTTCCCATCTAACTTTTAAATATATAAATGTGCAAATATATTTGCACATAAATTTATGAATGTGTAGATATTTTTTCACATAGTTGTCATTATGTTTTAGCGGATATTTCTCATCTTGAACCTCTCATCTGAATACATTTCCTCTTTTGGGATACTGGCTACATCAAAATATCTCTACTGCAAAGTCAGGGTGGGGCTGGGAAAAAAAGCCACAATTCTTCATCATCTTTCCATAAACTGATTTCTTCATCTCCCCATCTCTATTACTATTGACATTAGAAGGTACAGAGCCGAGAGCAGGGGATCTTCGGGCTGCCCAAGCTCATAGGGAAAGGAAGGGGAAAGGAACTAACATCTTTTAAGCACTTAATGTACCAAGAACATCATAGGTAAATTATTTCATGTAATTATCATAACAACTTTATATTATAGGACCCATTTTTATTCCCATTTTACAAATAGGGAAACTGAGGCTCAGAGAATTTTAGTGACTTGCTCAAAATCAGACAGCTAGTAAATGGTAAAACCAGAATTCAAACCAAGTTCTGTCAAGTGAAACCCCTGGACTGGCTGGGTGAGTAGACGAGGTTCAGTTCCATTTCAGCAGCACACAGAGCAGTCACACAGGGAAGCACAATCATTCCCAGAGTCTATTCAAGGATCACTCGAGCAGAGCTCTAGAAGGCTGAGGAACAGACAATGGGTTACTTGAGAGCATCACAACTTGAGGGGCTAGATGTGTTCATTAGTAAAGTAGGGCTGCATTTCCAATTGCTATCCCTCTTCAGACGGCTCCTCTATATACTCCAACCCCAGCAAAATACCTATCACTGGACCCTACTGCCTCCTCTCTCATCCTCTAAGGGCCTTGCTGGCTAATTTTCTGTTTCTCACTTAACTGAAATAAAATATGTTTGCTGGTGTGTGACAACATTATTTTGCTTTATTTCCACTTTTCTGGGGGAATGCCACAATGGGAGGTTCTATTTATTCTGAATGAACAGTCCCACTCTGGCCATTCTACTTTTTTTCTCAGACTTCTCTCCCTTTTCCTAAATTGGATCTACCTTTTTAAGGCAGATATCTTACCATCTCAAGGAACTCCCACGCATCTGAGAATAAGAGATTCATCTAGTTCTCCCTGGGTCCTTGCTTAAAGTATCTGGAAACTTAGACACTTCTCATTTATAGTTTCTTTTTTAGGTGGCTGTGGTGTAGTACACAATGATTTAGTACCTTGTTGCTTTAATTTTGCCCTTGGACTAACATTTACATAACACTCACTATATGCCAGGTACTGCTCTAATCAGCTCACATGTATCAGCTGTCTCAGTTCTCAAAACAACGCTATGAGGCAGGTACCATTATCCCCATTTGACAGATGGGGAAACCTGAACACAGAGAGATTAAGTGACTTGCTTAAGGCTACACAGCTAGTAGTGGTAGAGATGGGATTTGGACTCAGGAAGTCCAACTCTAGAGTCCACACCTTTAACCATGACACGTACTGCCTCTCCAGTCAAGCGTAACAACATCCCTTCTTCAGTTTCTGACTATCATTTTCTCTTTTGCACTATCCGTCTTTATTCTGTCATCCCTTTCTCTTTAGTCATCTCACACTCCTTGCTGTTCCCCTAGAATGCCATGCACTTTCATGTCCTGTGCCTTTGCCTGACACTGCTCTTTTACTTGGAAAGTCATTTCCCCATTTGTTTATTGAACAAATTTCTACTTATCTTTCAAGGTCCTGCTCAAAGATAATCACTTCTGTAACTTTTTCTCACCTGCTTGAACACAAGCAATTTGTCCCCTATTTATATTCCCATAGTGCTTTATATATAATTCAATTACACCATTTGCTACTTTATATCATAGCAATTTATTAGTCTACCTTCCCCTCTCAAACATGAGTTCTGGAGACCAGGGATTGTGTCTTATTTGTCTGTTTCTATCTCCAGCATAGTTACTGGCACATAGTAGATGTTCAGTAAATATTTGTTGGAATGAAATGAGTGGTGGAAGAAAGTATCTTTTACTGCTTCCTAGACATGTCTACGTGGTTACTCAAGTTACCGAACTTTCTCGGTAGGCCTAAAAACAAACTTAACATCTTCCATCTAAATGTGGCTTTCACCTCTGATTTCCTATTTTTTTTTTTGCCAGTGCTACTATCATTATTGCAGTTACTCAGATTCAGTAAACTCTGACTTCTACTTCTCCCTCAACCCCCACATAAATTCCAGCAGTCCTAACGTCCTTCCCTCCTTTTCTTTTCAATCTCACTAGAGTTCTACTGGTAATACAGTGAGGATCTGAAAAAAGGAAGCAATAAACTGAGGCCCTCATCATCCTTCTGGACTATTATTGAAAAGCCTCCTTAATTAATCTCCTTATCTCCAGGGTCTTTCTTTTGCTAACCATCCTCACAATCCTTCCTAAATGCTAAAGCCAGGAAAAATCACCATCTTCATCATCAAACATGAATTAAATGTCTTTTATGTGCAATGCATTATGCTAATGCCCTGCCCTGAATAAACTGGCAATCTGGATGGGAAGAGCCACATACGTATTTGAAAAATCAGTCCATGTAGCATAAGTTAAATACCAAATAAGTGATGTAGATTGTAATCTACAGAAATTGAAAAGAAAGCTCATTCTCAGTTGGGAAGTGGAGAAAATATACATGAATGAGATGGGACTTAGATTAAACTTTAAAGATGGACTAAGCCTTAGATTTAAGAGGCAGGAAGGTGGGAAATTTAAACCAAACAAACAAGATTAAACTTTATTTTTTAGGCAATATGGTATCTTTTTTTTTTTTTCCTTTTTGTCTTTTTTCATGACCGGCAACGGATCGCAACCCTCAGTGTTGCTCCCTGCACCTCGCTCAGCCAGTGAGCGGGAACCGGTCTGTATGTGGGATCCGAACCCTCGGCGGGAGCGCTGCCGCGCTTCCCAAGCGGTGCACTGCAGCAGTGTGCCACCGGGCCGGCCAACAATATGGTATCTTTGAAAAATATTTTTGAGGGTAAAGAGGGTAAGGTGATGGGAGATTAACCATAGTTAACTTTTTTTAGAAGATAAATGAGGATTGGTTTAAGGGGGGAGTAATGGTAAACTTGAGGACGATTTAGGAAGCTATTGTGATGTGAACAGGGCTTAGCCAAGGAGAATGACAGAAATAGAAAGGAAAGGTCAAATATGAGAATCACTCCCTTGCTCAAAATCTTCAATTAGACAGCAAGCTCCTTGAGGAAAGGTTTTGTTCGTCCCGTTGTAACCAGTACAATGTCTTACATACAACAAACACTTAAAAAACATTTAGTGATTGATTTAGCACATTAAAAAAAATCAAAATGAGAATGCCAAACACTAGGAAATATACTGTAGAAAATGTATTTTGTAAAGAAAATGTAAGTTGAAGTGAGAGAGCTAGGGTGGGAAGTTTCTTTGGACAGTCACATCAGGGGAGATAAAACAACCAGGCACAACTAGTAGAGTTGAAAGTTGACTGAAGATGCAAAATACTAAAGTAAAGAAAGCAGTGACATTAAAATCTTTCCATGTCAAGAAGCAGCTCAAAAGAGCAGGGTCCTTAAGTGTTTTCTGAACAGTAAATACTCCAGGGGAAAACTGTCTTTATGATGTGAATAAAACAACTCAAATTGCTTGGAAGGCACTTGAAAGCCCTGGTGGTCTTTTTCTTTGCAGTTTTGTCTGAAAATACAGTGAGGTATTTCACTTGCTTATTAACTCTTAGTTGAAAATAACTGGGGTTATCTTGATATGCGTCCTTATTGGTTGGTTTGTGGAAGACCCCAGATCCTTATTTGGACTTTGTTCTTTGTTTTAGGTTAGTGGGTTTGCCTAAATGGCTTTATGTCTGTGGAAAAATCTATCCTCCTTGAAATCATCACTAGGGCAATCTTGGCAACCTACTTGTGTAAGTACACCCATCCCAAAAAGACTTTTGGGGGGCAGATTGTGATGTTTAAGACTAAGGGTCTCAGCCACAACCTTCCAGTGCCTAAGTACCAGTCAACACAGGCCTCCTTGTCCTGTCCCTGTCCCAGGTCCTCTTCTCTGCTCTATGGTCCTTTACTTTCTTCCCAAAGGTAGCAAGAATTTGACTTGCACATTTTTTTCCGACTGCCCATCCTACCCTACTTCCTGAGGTTCTCTCCTACCTCCCAGCCCAAAGATTGACTACAGAGTAAGACCTTGTCTTCCCAAATTTCCACCGTCCCCTGATACAGGCACATATGTCCCCTGTTGTAAGGATTTTACTGTTGGTCACCACAAGGAAATAAATACATGGAAGTTCACAAAAGCCACAAGCTACAAAGATTTAAGAAACCACAAAAAGTTATTTTGGCAATTGTTTCTATTCTGTATTGAAATGTAAATGGACTAGACCTTTTTTACCTTTAGCTACTTTCAGAGAGCTTATTTAAGAGTTTTTTGGGAGAACTCCCATATGCTCATTCTACAGGCCTTTTATTCTTGGATTTAAAGTTAATCCACCTTCCCTGCAACCCACTCCCATGAAAAAC